CACCACCCTCCACCCCGACCCCACCAGCCACCTGCCCCCATGTGCCACACCAGCTGCTCCTTGGGCGGCCCATGAGCCTGCCCTGGCCCCTGTGCTGTGTCCCCACCCCAGGGCTATGGGAGCTCCTGCAGTCGGGTGGCCTCTTCTGTCACTCTGCTGTGCCAGGCTGTGTGTCTGCCTCCTGCCAGCCGGCCTGCAGCTGCCAGTCCCCGTGCTGCCTATGGAGCTAAGGACAGGCCTGCTGCATGCCCAGCCTCTGCCCGGTGGCTGTGTGTGTGCCCGTGAGCCACAGGCCTGCAGTCTGCGTGATCCCCTCCTGTCAGCCCTCCTACATCACCCTGGTGTGCAGACCTGTCACCTGTGGCTCCTTCATCTGCTACTGAGCCTGTGGCCTCTGAGGACCCTAGTAGGAGTGAGGTCAGAAGCAGCGGGCCCCTGGCCTCCTGCCAGTAGTCCACATGTCATCCATCCCAGGCAGACCTTCTGGGCCTCACTAGACTACCTGCCTCCTTTGCAGCCAGGCCCCTCACTCCCAACCAGCCAGGCCAAGGGACTCCCACATGGTATCCCCTGGGGCTCCTGGCCCAAGTTGTCCACACGGTCATCCACTTTGTCTGCTGTGTCAGTGGGCCTTGCAGCCGTAGGAGCAAGGCTCTAGTAAAGCAGTGGATGCTTACCAGAGTGTGGTGTCATCCCCTCAGCATCTACAGTGGCGTCCTCAGGAGGTCATTCCCCTGAGGACTCTGGAAACTTCTTTTCTACAGAGAAGGCACAGGTTGCCAGATGGCTGTCAGTCCCAGGACCAACCACTCAAAGGCAGCCTCTTGGGCCAGCAGCCTGACGTGACCCCCAGTGGCTTCTTTCTGTCCCACTTTGTCCCTTACATCTATGAGATCAGATTGAGGGCAAACCACTAGCTCTCTGATCGGAGCCCTTTTAGGTGAAATAGGTCTTGTGCTTAGCAGTTAATACGTGCAGCCCCCTGTATTTAATTAAAACTAAACTCCACTGAAATCCACAGTTCCTCCTGATTCTAACTGGATGGGAAAGAGGGTTGTGGTTAACTTCTGTGGTCGGCCAAGGAATGGTCCCCACAGATGTCCATGTTCCAATCCCCAGAACCTGTGAATGTGCCACCTTTCTGGCAGAAGGGACTTTGCAGATAGAAGATGATCCTGGATTATCCGCATGGGCCTGGTGTCCGCACGAGGCTTTATCAGAGGGATGGGGGAGATTTGCCAGAGAAGAAAAGCCAAGGGCAGATGTTGTGCTCCCGACTCTGTTGGGGTCGGGTGGGAGGGGGGCAGGGGTCGAGGCTGGGCCCGGAAGCACGAGCGGCCTCAGGAGCTGGAAGAGACCATGCTCCTGTGGAGCCTCCAGAAGGAACCAGCCCTGCCCGCAGCCTGCTGTCAGCCTGTGAGGCCCACTTCAGACTCCTGACCTGCGCAGCTAGAGATGGCCAATTTGCATTTGAAGCCAGCAGGTGTGCAGTGCTTGGGCACAGCGCCCACAGGACACTCACACAATGTCTGTCTCACATTCTGGTGCCTCTGCCTCCTCCTCGGTCTCTAGCCACAGATCTGACCCATCCAGGGGCAGTAGGAGAGGCAAGGAGAAAGGGACTGAGGACAAGCTCCCAGAGCAGGGACAGTGCTGAGCTGGGCTCCTCCTCCCCGGCCTGATTGTCTCACGGCCCTTCCTCCCCTTCACAGCCTGGGGAGGAGGCCCTGCCCCAGCAGGAGGTGCCAGTGCTTCTTTCTGCCGAGGTTGTCACCAGGTCCTGAGCTGACCCTGGTCCTCTCTCCCGTGGGGCCTACGCCTGGCCCTGGGGACTGTCAGGGAGCATCTCCCTTGTCCTCCCTGGGACATGCAGCACAGGCTCTGCCCTTCACTTATTGGGCATATCAGACCCAGGCTGTGGTCATTGTCACTGCAGAGGTCTCTGTCCCACTCCTTGGGGTCTCCTCCTTTCCCCTCAGGAGGGGGATGTGGCACGACTGTCTCCAAAGAAAACTTTTCCTACCCCTGGCCACTCTTTTCTAGGTCTCTCCACCCTTTTTAGGGGCTGGAGTCAGAGGGTTTGTTGA